AGGGAGAGGACCCAAATAAATAATATCAGATATGAAAGAGGAGAAATAACAACTGATACCACGGAAATACAAAGGATTGTAAAAAACTACTATGAACAATTATATGCCATGAAATTAGAAAACCTTGATGAAATGGACAAATTTCCAGAAAAATATGACCCCCCCCAACACTGAATGAATAAAAAAAAGAAATCCTGAGTGCACCATTAACAGCTGGTTAAATTGAAACAGTAATCAAAAAACTCCCAGCACACAAAAGCCCCAGACCAGATGGTTTCACAGTTGAATTTTACATAACATTTAAGGAAGAGCTAACCCCTATCCTTCTCAGACTATTCCAAAAAATCCAAGATGATGGAGGACTCCCAGACTCTTTTTATGAAGCCAGCATCATCCTAATCCCAAAACCAGGTAAAGACACAAAAAAGAAAGAAAGCTACAGGCCAATATTGCTGATGAACATAGATGCTAAAATCCTCAACAAAATAATGTCAAACCACAACCAGCACTCCATTTAAAATATCATCAACCATGATCAAGTGGGATTCTTCCCAAGGATGCACGGATGGTTCAATATTCACAGATCAATAAATGTAGTACCTCACATAAATAAAAGAAAAGACAAAAACCACATGCTCATATCAATAGATGTGGAAAAAGCATTTGATAAGGTATAGCACCCATTTATGATAAAAAACATTCAGCAAAGTGGGAAAAAATAGGGCATACCTCAACATAATAAAGGCCATATATGAAAAATCTACAGCCAACGTTATACTCAACAGGCAAAAACTAAAAACTTTCCCACTAATATCAGGAACAAGACAAGGACGTCCACTTTCACCATTTCTATTCCACATGGTATTGGAAGTCCTAACCAAAGCAATCGGACAAGAAAAAGAAATAAAGGGCATCCAAATTGGAAAGGAGGAAGTAAAACTATCATTGTTTGCAGATGACATGATGGTATACATAGAAAACCTCATAGACTCCACCAAAACACTACTTGACCTAATAAGTGAATTTGAAAAAACAGCAGGATACAAATCCAATATTCAGAAATCAAAGGCATTTTTGCACACCAATGAATTATCAGAATCAGAAATCGGGCAGGGGGGGGGAATCCCCTTTGCTTTAGCCACAAGAAAAATAAAGTACCTAGGAATAAACTTAAACTCCTTTTAAGGAGGTAAAAGACCAGTATGCAGAAAACTATACAACACTGAAGAAAGAAATTAAGGAAGACACAAATAAATGGAAGCATATACCATGTCCATGGATTGGAAGAATTAACATCATCAAAATGTCCATACTACCCAAAGCAATTTACAGATTCAACGCAATCCCTATTAAAATACCGATGACGTATTTCACAGACATAGAACAAACATCTCAAAAATTTATATGGAACCATAAATGACCCCAAATAGCTATAGCAATTCTGAGAAAGAAGAACAAAGTAGGAGGGATCACAATTTCCAATATCAAATATATTACAAGACCGCTGTAATCAAAACAGTCTGGTACTGGCACAAGAACAGACACATGGATCAATGGAACAGAATAGGGAGCCCAGAAATAAACCCAAGCCTCTATGGTCAATTAATATTTGAAAAATGGTGCAGAAAAATAAAATGGAGTAAAAATAGCCTCTTCAACAAATGGTGTTGGGAGAGCTGGACAACTACATGCAAAAAATTGCAATTTGACCACCAACTGACACCATACACAAAAATAAACTCAAGATGAATAAAAGACTTATATATAAGTTATGATACCATAAAAGTCCTAGAAGAAAACATAGACAGAAAACTCTCAGATATCCCACGCAGTAATATTTTCACCAATATGTCCCCTAGAGCAAGGGATATAAAGAAAAGAATAAACAAATGGCATTTCCTCAAAATAAGAAGCTTCTGTAGGGCTAAAAAAAGTTAGCAAAATGAAAAGGGAACCAACCGTATGGGAAAATATATTTGCCAATGATACCTCAGACAGGTGTTTGATCTCCAAAATACATAAAGAACTCACACGACTGTACTCCAGGAGACAAACAATCCCATTAAAAGTGAGCAAAGAACCTGAGCAGACATACTCCAAGGAGGATATACAGAGGGCCCATAGACACATGAAAAAATGCTAACATCACTAGCCATCAGAGAAATGCAAATTAAAATCACAATAAGATACCACTTCACACCAGTCAGAATGGCCCTCGTTAGTAAATCAACAAACAACAAGTGCTGGAGAGAATATGGAGAAAAGGGGACCCTAGTACACTGTTGGTGGGGAATGCAGACTGGTGCAGCCACTGTGGAAAACACTATGGAATTTCCTCAAAAAGCTAAAACTGGAACTGTCTTTTGACTCAGCAATTCCACTGCTGGGATTATACCCTAAGAACCCCAAAACACCAGTTCAAAAGAACCTATACATTCCAATGTTTATAGCAGCACAATTTACGATAGCCAAGTCCTGGAATCATCTCAAGTGCCCATCAGTAAATGAATGGATCAAAAAACTATGGTACATTTACACAATGGAACACTACACAGCAGAAAGACAGAAAGAGCTACTACCCTTGTGACAGCATGGGTGGAACTGGAGAGCATTATGCTAAGTGAAATAAGCCAGGCAGGGAAAGACAAATGACATATGATCTCACCTATAAGTGGAACATAATCAACAAAACAAACAAGCAAGAAAAATATAACCAGCAACATTGAAAGAAAAAAGAAACTGACAGTAACAAGAGGGAAGGAGGAAGGAGGGTAACGGGGAAAGGAAGGGGAAGAGTCAAATCAAGGAACATGTATAAAGGACCCATGGACAAAGCCGAAGTGGGGAAGGTTTGAGGGAGGGAGTTGGGGCAGGGGCAGGGGAAAATCATGGCAGAAAAATGGAGACAAATATATTTGAACAATAAAAACAAAGTTAATGTTTCATAATTTAAAAAAAGATCATGTAGTTCTGATTTATATGTTTCTTCAGAAACTTTTTACTCTTTCTTTTATGAGGCATAAAAGGGTAAGGTGTAATCACCCCTATTTAATCAAATACTGAGCTTATTTGAATCTGGATTGTTATTTTTATAAGATGCAATACACTTCCCATTTGTGCCTGCTCCTTGGATATATTTCCTCCAGATTTTGACTATGATTCTACTGGATCTCTTTCTCTTCCGTCTGAAAGATTTCAGGTGATTCAGTTTTGCCCTCCAGAATTTTTGAGTTTAGAACTTTAGTCTTCTTTTCCCTGCAAAAGTGAGTATGACCAATTTCTTAAAGAGGGCTCTGGCTTTGTATTTGTCCTTTTAATTTAATGTACATAATAGGACTCCATTACAAATATAAATATTAAGCAACAAAATAATTGTGAGCATGAAAATTATAAAATATTATTGGTTATACAATCCAGAAAGAATTTTGGATCACAAATAGTCAGGACATGGAGTCCTTTCATCCTTTCATAATTTAGCAGCAAATTTGTCTCAGGTTCTCAAAGTAAAATAGAAATTAAATTAGTTTCACAATTTCTACAGATTGCACACATACACGGACACATGTTTGAGCAAGAAAAGAATTATACAAATTACTAGAGAAAAATCATCTGCAAACAATTTGGGCAGAGTAGTTGTTGGATAATAATAATAATATTAGCCATGAAAGGATCAGATCAACATCTATTTGATGTTTAAAGAATTTCTATTAATTGATTGAGTCATAGACATTATGTAGTAATTTCAAAAATTGCGAAATAAGCAACATTTATATAAATGTCCCTGCCCTTGGCCGACTGGAGATGGCTTGCTTCCTTTGGAATTGAGATAGGCAAGGATGAGATTAGTACCCACAGGCCAAATACATAAAACATACTATCTCTGAAGCTCTCCCTTTTGTTTTCCCTCCTAACTTATGTCAATCTCCCCTTACTACACTAACTTATTTTTTCTTTTTTTCTTTTTTTTAATTGTTGTTCAAGTACAGTTTTCTCCATTTTCCTACCATCACTTTCCTCTGTCCCACCCATCCCCACCTCCCACTCTCAATCCTTCCCCCTTTGGCTTTGTCCATGGGTCTTTTATGCATGTTCCTTGACAGCCCTTCCCCTTCCTTGCCCCGTTATCTCCTTCACCCTTTCCCTCTGACTACTGTCAGTTTGTTCTTTATTTCAATGTCTCTGGTTATATTTTGCTTACTTATTTGTTTTGTTGATTATGTTACACTTATTGGTGAGATCATATGGTATTTGTCTTTCACCACCTGGCTTATTTCAGTTAGTATAATATTCTACAGTTCCATCCATGTTGTTGTGAAGGGTAGGAGCTCCTTTCTTTCTGCTGCATAGTATTCCATTGTGTGAATATACCAGTTTTTTGATCCACTCATTTACGGATGGGCACTTAGGCTGTTTCCAGCACTTGGCTATTGGAAATTGTTCTGCTATGTCCCATAGAGCAAGGGACACAAAGGAAAGAATAAACAAAGAGGGACTTCATTAAATTAAAAAGCTTCTGCACTAACTTATTTGTTGTGTCTATTCCACATGTCTCACTCTGTTCTTTTTTCCAGATTTTAAAATCTCTCTGACACATCTTTTGTGTTTCAGAAGAAAATATGAGTTTGATTATTCATATCCTGGGTTTAAATCAGAGGAGAGTTGTACGTTTCATATTGCCTCAAAAGTTAGAATATATTAGCTCTAAATTAATTTACTTGAATACAGGCAGCCTGATCTCTGAGGTCATACTTTCAGCAGATTCTAAGTCTATAATCTATGTTTCAGCAACTTCCCATAAGCATTTTCTGGGGCTATAATTCAACTGCCAAAAAACTTGTTTAAAGAGAGATAATTCAATTTAATTTCATATTAAATTATCTGTTCTGAATATTATGAATGGTGTCTTTAGGAAAAAAACAAGTTTTGTATAATTATTTAAGCATTTGCATTACTTGAAGTTGCTTAAAATTTACAAAGTAATTTGTGCCCTTGTGAGTTATTTAATAGATCTTCCTCAAACTAAGGAGTTGAATACTCAGTCTGTTCATTGTCATCTTCATATCTTTGTTCCTCAATGTGTAGATAATAGGATTCAGAATGGGTGTAATCATAAATTCCACAATGGCAAGAAACTTATCCACTGGCACTGTGGGAAATGGCCACATGTAAATAAAGATACATGATCCAAAGAACAAAACCACCGCAGTGATGTGAGCTGAAAGAGTAGGAAGGGCCTTAGAAAAACCATCTGAAGAGCATTTTTGTACAGTGACCAGGATGAAAATATATGAGATAATCAACAAGAATAAAGTGCCCATGGATATGAACCCACTGTTGATAGTAACCATCGATCCCATTCTGTAGATGTCTGTGCAAGGAAGTTTGATAAACCAAGGAAGGTCACAATAAAAGCTATCTATCTCATTAGGACCACAGAAAGGTAAATGAACAACAAAAGCTAACTGTGCCACTGAGTGAATGAGGCCTATAACCCAAGCACCAGAAAGAAACAGCAAGCATATTTGTGGGCTCATGACAGTCAGGTAGTGGAGAGGTTTACATATGGCCACATATCAGTCTAAGGCCATGACAATGAGCCATCTCCGATCCCCCCAGGATGTGAAGGCCAAACATCTGGATAACACATCCCTGGAAGAATTTGGTTTTGTGCCCAGTGTACAAGTCAAATATCATCTTAGGAACCATTAAAGTAGAAAAACAGAAATCAATAAATGAGAGGTTAGCTAAAAAAAAGTACATGGAAGACTGTAAATTACTGTTGAAAGTCACTGTAAACACAAAAAGGAGGTTTCCTAAAACAATTTTTACATAAAACACTGTAGAGAAGGTGAGGAGGAAGTACTGTACTGGTCTATAGATAGAAAGTCCAAGGAACACAAACTGAGACACTTCCAAGTAATTTGCTTTATCCATTGACTTTGTGTTACCTGAAAGGAACAAATAAAAATAATCATAAAGGAATGCACCACAGCTATTGAAAGAAGCAATTGTTACTGGGTTTTAAATCTGATATTAAAGAAAAATCTTCAGTCCTGGTTACAAAGTCCTTTCAAAAGTCATGCAGTAGTTTATTCATTTAACAAATATTCATTGAGCAGCTACCAGGAAGGTCTCCTAGACACTTACACTGTACCACATTCTGGAATAAAACAAACATCCTGTCTTGGTGTGGTTTGTAGTCTACTTGTGAAGCAAGGCATTAAATAACTAATTGTCTAAATAGATTATTATAATGGTCATAACTTATTTGAAAAATAAAAAAAAACAAAGGGCTATGCAAACTATAAGAGCTCATAGAAGTGTCATCTGCTCTGGTCTGGAAGGAGATGTCTGTGCTACAATCTAAATAGGAATTAAATAAGTGAGGAAGAGTAGGAAAAGTAATCTACTCTGGGGAAAGGCATGAGAAATATTCTGAAGCATGAAGAAACAGAACAATTTTGCATAAATTAAAGAAGACTAATAAGGGTCTGACCAAGGTAGAAACATATAGGGTGTGTAAAGAGTTTGGTCTGTATCATAGAAGTGATAGGAAGCCATTGAGGCAGAACAATGAAATAATCATATTAGTGCTTTAAAAAGTTTGCAGTAACTGCAAAGTGAAAAATATAATAGAGGGATCCAGAGGAAAAGGGGAGAGATCAATTAGGAGTCTGTCAAAGAATCATATCAAATGTACAGAAAGGATAATTTGTCAATAAATGGTTTTGACACAACTTACCAAACTTGGCAAAAATAAATTGAATTCCTTACTTTACAACAGTAACTAAAGTGGATTTTTAATGGATATTTAAATAAAGATAAAAATATAGAAAATATTGACTTATTTTTAGAAAATCCTTTGTATGAGAAGACTCTTTCAAAGCATATCCTAACATTCAAACATGCAGGAAAAAAACTGACATTTTCAGATTCAAGATTTAAATCTTCTATATACATTTTAAAATAAAAAAACAAATGTGGGAAATAGTTGTTAAATATAATCATAAACCAAATTTAAAATGAACCGAACATAAAGACTTGGACCAAATAAGAAATCTAAACAGTTGATATCTGAAGAACAGTCAAACTCACTATTTAAAAAATGTAAATAAAACTATATAGAATTACTAGTACATTTGTTTTAAAAAACTGTCAGAGTTAAAAATTAATAATATGAATGAAGCTGTGAGAAAAGAGACCCTCTCATACTATGATTCAGAGTACACATTTGTATGCCTTCTCCAGAACACAATTTAAAAATTGTAACAAATATTTAAGATTATTTAAGATTATATCAAATATTTAAATATAAATATATATTGAAGGGAATTCCCTTAAACTTAAGGTAATAATTAAATATTCCCTTAAAGACTCCCATTAAAATAAATTTTTCTTAAGATATAACAACAAATTAGCTAAAATATTTAGCTATTGGGGCAAATGTTATACAATTATTTATAAAAAGGAAAAAAATTAAAATAACCTAAATCAAATCAATGAGGAATTGGTACAGTACAACAATACATTCAAGTAAGAAAAGCACTTAATCTTACTTATAGAAAAATGCCATGAAAAAGTATATAATGAATCTTTAATTAAAAAGAGAAGCTTGTAAAATAAATGTGCATAAAACACATTTTTTAAAAATTCAAGACTTGAAAATAGAAATAAAGGATAATCAACAGATTAACAATCTGGGTGTGTGTATATAGATAAATATGTATTAGTTTATACTATATGAAATTTGTATTTCAGTAGATCAAAAAATAGTCTAATATTTTCTACTTCACAAGTTCAAATATATTAATTTGTTTTTTCTTACCAGATTTTATAAACTACTATCCTTTATCACAAGCATACATTATCAAAGTCTATTCCACACCTGAATTGAATATTATGAGCTTCCCACTGTCTTGCCACTTGCATTGCCACCACTGAGTTTTCCTCCAGGTCTCACCATATCAACAGCCACTCTTTCTCATACCATCAGTTCTCTCTACACCACACAGCACAATGCCCAGGCTTCTGCTTAGGCATAACCTGCACCATCTGGCAGGAAAATAGCATAAACCAGTAGGAGCACCATAGAATAGACTTGAGGACATCCAGGCCAGGCAGGAACAGGCATCCTAAGGGTGATGGACATGGAGTAGGTATTAGAGTCAAAAGGAAACTACGGGGATGATGCTAGGAGGCCACACCACAAGGGCACTGGGTGGATAATGTTATAGTGAATAACTGGGAAAAATAGAGCAGAATTGAACCAGAGAGAATGGGACAATCATTAAGACAAATGATAGTGGATGTGACTCGCAAGAGGCTGCCAGCTTTTTTTATATTTTGACCATATAACGTGTAGAGAGTAAACAATTTGTATTTTGAAATGTGGAATGTATATTCAACATGATCACCATTATAAAGATAAAGAAAAAATGCCACAATAAAAGGAAATTACCAATCATTTCCTCTGAATAAAAAGATAAAATAAATGAGTAATTTTGTTACTTCTTCTTTTCTTTATTTTCCAAAATTCAGCATTTCTTAATTTAATATCAATTAACTTCAGTTGATAGAGTTCAATGGGAGAAAAAGAAGTAATATTGTAAACAAGTAAGAATGTAGATGATTTATGCAAACATATGTTAGTGACCTAACTCCAAATGGGGAGTTTGATTAAAAGGGGAAAAAATACACAAACAAGTAACTGACAATTGAAAAAATGAAAATGACAAACTCATCTAAAGATATTCAACCTCACCAATCATCAAGAAAATGCAATCCTAAAAAACAGTTTTGTATGTTTTTCCTAACCAACTGACAAGACAAAAAAGAAATGAAAGAGAAAGAGTTAAAAATTAACCCCACTGTGTTCAAGAATTCTTATGATAAAAATTCTTATGCATAATCAATAAGAATGGGAATGTTTATTACATTACAATTTATTACAATTTAATGTTTATTACAATTTAAAATGTTTAAATCTAAACAATAAGAGGTCCAAGGGCCCCTAACACTGAACAAATGGTTAAATAAGAATTATAAATAACAAAAATATAAATTAATACAGAAATTTAAATCAAATTATAAAGCATTATATCACCAACCACTATGTAGCTATTAAAAACAATCGTATAGCCTTGGCCAGGTGGCTCAGTTGTTTGGAGCATTGTCCCATACACCAAAAAGTCACAGGTTCAATCCAGGTCAGGGCACATACTTAGGCTGTAGATTTGATCCTGATCAGGGCACATACAGGAGGTAACTGATTGATGTTTCTCTCTCACATTGATGTTTTTCTCCCTTCCTCTGTTTCTAAAACCACTAAAGAAAAAAAGATATAAATCTACATAACAGAGACCCAAAGTGAAAAATATCACTTTAGTATGATTCAATAACATGATTTGGTTTGTATGTACATTAAGACATAGTAACAAATGCCTAACTTTTAAGAATTTTAAGGAAGAGAAGGGTCAAGTCAAGGAACATACAGCAAGGACTCATGGACAAAGCCAAAGTGGGGAAGGATTGAGGGAGGGAGATGGGGGAAGGGGGCAGGGGAAAGTGGTGGTGAGAAGGCAGAGACAAATGTATTTGAACAAAAAAATAAAAAATAAACTAAAAAAAATAATTTTAATATAGTAAAATGTGATTGATTATACAAAGCTTTATCCTCCTAAAATCCTTATTTCTGCATTTTAGATGTATTTTGTAAAGAATCAACATTTGTTAATTAATCATATCAATTTTTCAAAATAATGTGAAATTTTTGGATGTGCAGCATGTTAAATGAAGAAATGCAACACAAATGAAAATGGGAAATGAAATTTTATTAGTAGATTGACCCTTCTCATCAAAATTCAAAACCATTAGTATAGTAAAAATTTTCATGAAGGGATCCATCTTGAGGTACAGCCTTTATATTTATATATAGTATTAAATATATTGGGGTGACGTTGGTTAATAAAATTACATAGGTTTCAGGTGTACAATTCTATAGTACATGAACTGTATATTGTATTGTATGTTCACCACCCCAAGTAAACTTTGCTTCCATCACCATTTATCCCTCTTTTACCCTCTTCTACTTCCCATTACCCCCCTTTCCCTCTGGTAATCACCATACAGTTAGTTGTCTGTGCCTATGAGAGGTGGGATTTTTTTGCTTAATATTTTCACTTTTCCCACACAGCCCCTCAACCGTCCTTCCTTCTGACAGTTGTTGGTCTATTCTCTGTATCTATGAGTCTGTTTCCATTTTGTATGTTAGTTCATTTTGTTCATTAAATTTCACGTATCAGTGAAATCACACAGTACTCATATTTCTCTGACTAGCTTGTTTCACATAGCATAATGTTCTCTAGATCCATCCATACTGTTGCAAAGGGTAAAATTTTATTTTTTTACAGCTGAGTAGGATCTCATTGTGTAAATGTACCAAAGCTTTTTATCCACTCATCTACTGATGGACACTTGGGCTGCTTCCAAATCTTGGCTATTGTCAGTAACACTATGATGAACATAGGGATGTATATATTCTTTCAAATTAGTTTCAGGTTTCTTTGGATATATTCCCAGAAGTGGAATCACTGGGTCATAAGGCAGTTTCACTTTAAACTTTTGAGGAAACTCCTACTGTTTTCCATAATGCTGCACTGATCTGCTTTCCCACCTACAGTTCAGGAGGGTTCCCCTTTCTCTGCAATCTCGCCAACCCTTGTTGTTTGTTGATTTATTAATGATAACATTCTGACAGTGAGATGATTTCTCCTTATGGTTTAATTTTGCATTTCTCTGATGATTAGTGACATTGAACATTTTCATATATCTGTTGGCCCTCTGTATATCCTCTTTAGAGAAGTGTCTATTCAGGTCCTTTGTCCATTTTTCTAATTGGATTGGGTTTGCTGTTGTTGTTCTTGTTCTTGTTGTTGTTG